ATATATATATATATATATATATGTATGTATTTGTCGGGGACAAAGCACAGTTTCAATGTTCTACTAAACTTCTAGGAGCTTAAGAGTAAACTTGGGAGCAAAAAACAGCAGATGAACAAAAAAGTAATTGGCACTAGAAAGCTGGGACAAGCATCTAGAAATAGCTGGCCATGGTGCTAGAGTTGGACTGGAGGCAAGAGGGACCATGCAGAAACAGAGGGACCTGGGTAAGAGAAAGAGGCCAAAGGACAATCAGAAGTTATGCAGATGCTCTTGAAAATAGAAAGCTGCTACTCTCTTGGTGGATAGTGTCAAGGTATCTTTAGTGTCTCCCTCCCCAGCTAAGGACAAATGGCCTTAATATCCTTATTGTTGCACAGGTTTATTTCAGAAAGTTTTATTTTGTGAATGTTTTTAAGAAGTTAACAATTTATTTTTCAACCAGCCAATATCACCTCATTAAAAAAAATCAATGTTTTAAAAATAGTACTTGTCCTATCTTTCCACTTACATTATTATTAATATGTGTCCTATTAATCTTGGATTCACTGAAGATTAAGTATATAATAAGCAACTTATATGATTTTGGAAATACTAAAACTCTCAGAGTTTCTTAATTTTTTTTTTTGATTGTTGAGATAAACCAGGCATCTTTCTGATCATCATTTAGGTTTTCATTAGGAGATAAATGTTGATGCCACAATCAGAGCAATGACTTAATTTTGACAACAAATTTGAATCACTTGGGGATGTTTGTAAAATGTCTAAAATAAACTAATTGACCTGGGGAAAAACAAAAGAAGTTAACAATTTAAAATTGTGGAATATGGTTACAGCAAAACTGAAGTTTGAGATGAAATTGGATTCTCCTCTTTTGCTGAAGTGAGGTCTATATGAGCTGCAGGCCTCTATAACGGAGAAAGTCCATTTGGGTTGCAGGCAAAGTGACAACTTTTCCACTACTATCAAGTGACATATGGCAGCTCTCAATGCAAGGCCATACCCTCCAGTGCTGCAGCAGACTCTAGTAGCTCACTACCAATTTCTTTCCAAGGTGTTTTCTTGTGAATTAAAAAAAAAAATGAAATCCATGGACAATAAGAATGGTAAGAGTAAAAAGAATAGGATTTATTTAAATGTTAAGAGAAAGAATGCTCCCAGAGTGAGAGGGGACCAAATACTAGGTTGCTGCTTACGTGTATAGTCTAGGGATTTATATAGTAACTGAGTAGGAGCAATGATCAATACTTATGCTAATAAGGTCTTGAAAAAGTACCCAGTACTATTCGTCAAAAATCTGTGCTAAACAGGTCCTAGAAAAGTACAGTTCTATCAATCCTTGAGTTTGAACTTTCTTGTGGCTTCCATTCAGACCTGGAAACCCACTTCCATTTTTGCTCAGGGACAAAGGTTTGGCTGGAATGTTTGGAATGTTTCTACAGGTTGACCTTATGCCTTGGCACTTGAATTTGAAGAAAGCCTTAATTGGGACTCAGAAGTATCATATCTTATTAGATAATTAGTTGCACTAGGCAGTACAAACTGGGAACTCCCCTATATGGAACAGTCAAAGAGCCTTTGACCAGTGTTCTATGTTTAAAATCCAGTTCACCTTCATGGCTTTCCCCTCAGGAAACTGCTCATTACATCATCAGTCTCAGCTACTAAAACTTTCTGCAATGACCATTATTATCCTCTTCAAGGAAATAAGGAACAGAATTTCTTTAGCACTCAGATGTGTGCCAGGGGCTCTATTTAGATCTAGCCATTTTTAAGCCTTCCATGGTCTCCTCCACATGCCCTGTGAACTCCTGCCCCTCATCTCTTCCTTCTCAGGTTATGTATTCTAGGTCCTGTACACATGGCAGCCCCACAGAAGGGGGGGGCTTTCTCAATTGCTCCAGCACTTCAGTCTCTTTTTTTTCTCAGAACCTTATAAGGACACATCTGCCACTGAGTATGAGCTTCTTTTATTCCAGGTCTTCTGAAGCCTATGAACCAGTGCATTTTAAAACCAGAGGAGGTTTCACAGAATACCCAATCCAATTACTTTATTTTGCTAATGAGAAAATGGAAACTCAGAAAATGAGTAAAAGACAGAACCAAGATAGACTTCAGCCCTCCTTTGTTGTTATTTGGTGACCTTTTTACTATGCTATGTGTGTGCCTAAGAGGATGAGGATATTCCTTCAGGAATGGGACTTGTTTAAATCTGTAGCATGAGAACACTGTATCCTCGACAGATATTCACACACAATGTTACCAAATCATACAAGGTAAGAGGAAGAAGAATAAACACTTGTGTAGACAGATATTACAGTTTAAGAAAATCATTAATGTTCACAAACCTTAGATATATAAACTTTCTTAGAAAAGGGGTTAGAAAGTTTCCATTTGTCATATAAGATGATCAGGTGTCTCTCTTTTATACAAATAAAATTACATGAATGGCTGTTAACATCATTCCCTTAATTAATCTTTAAGGATGATCTTGTTTAGGGTTTACATGAACCATTTCTGACCAGTGCAGATATTTATTTGAATCCTAGAAGAGAAAAATTTTACCATGAGCTCTTGTACCAGTTAACTTTGTGAATTTTAATTTAAAAAACAAAAATATTTACACAATTTCACTTAATTTGGCAATATGGACTGGGAAAAATGGAATGAAACCAAAGCAAATATAAGGCTAGATACTGGGAACTAAACCAAACTGTTATTAGAAATTGCCAGTTTCACCATTATTAATTTTATTATTCAAAAATCAAGCTATTACCCAAGATTGTTCAAGATCTATGACGTGTGATTTGGCACTCATCACCCTGAACTATTCTAAATTGCTTTGAAAAGTGAGTGCAGAGTCCTGCCATTCCCATTACAACCAGTCCACCTGTGACCATGTGAAGGAGAAATCTCCTAGAATCATTCCATTAAAGCTTGCTGTGATATTATCACAACATAAGTAGTGCTCTACCTGCTTATTTCAGGATGGATGTAAAATCTCAGAAAGGGCTTGTGAGCTTCCAGAAATAGACAGATTGTTAGAGTAATTCTCCCCCAGAGCTCCGTTGGGACAGTCCAGCTATGCAGCCTCCTTCTGACTCCCCACCCTAGCTTTCCTCTTTCCTCTCCCTCATCATGGGAGAAATGACAAACACCACAAACACTACCCATTTGCAATCAGTTCCCCTAATTCTACCCCAGGCAACAAAAATCTAAAGGAAATACATTTATTTGTTTAAAAATGTAAAATGGAGACAGCATGTTCACAAAAAAAGTGTTCCTACCCTCTTGGTGCTACTCTTCAGGATACTTTTCTTCCAGACTTGCTTCTTCCCAAATGACTACCGCTTGTGCTGCCATTTCTCTGAAAGTATATTCAAGACTTCCTTGAGAGTCAGAAAAGCTACCTAAATTTGCAGGCAGCTTCCTGTTGGGCTTGTGTTTTGCAGAATGCACACTTGGTGGGCAAGGTGTCTGAAAAAAACAGGAAGCACTTCTGAATGTGTGACTTTATTTGTGGGAGCAGAAGACTCCCTCTGAGATAGCTTGAGAGGCTTCTTGATGTTTTGCCTATGAGCATTTTTTAAGACCTTGAAGTTCTTACGAATTCAAGAAGAGGCTTCTGAAGGGCAGGATTATTTGGAAAGTCACATGTATTCACAGGCATAGTGGAAATTCATAGTTTTCAATTTAATTTTTTTTTTCTGTAGATATTGATCTGCATGGAAATGAAGTTGGCTTTTAATTGCATTAGGGAAATTTCAATGAATTGAAAATATGAGGTAACAGATTTGTGCAGCTTTTTAGGTTCACACTTTAATAAGAAGATATTTTCATTCATCGATTCATTTTTCAGTCAATGGTTGAGTGCAAGTCACTGAAGAGACCCTGGGAATATATGGGGACACACACAAAAAAGTTTCATCCCTGTCTTCTGGTTCAGCCCCAATATTACCTACAATAAGGCATCATATTTCAGATGTGCATTTTTATATTTGCAGTATTTATATGATTCAGTGAGGTGTTTAATGGAACTGTCACTGATAAAAGTCCCTTCCTATGTTGGATATTCTAACCCGTTGTTGGGAGTTATTTAGCCCAGTTTGTGGCAGTCCCTGCCAGTGACATCCAAGCTATGCATTTAGTGTTACTGTTGGTAAATGAGATTAACCCTGGTTTTGACTGGAGGTAACACATCTAAATTGCTAACTTTTCAAATACACAGTTGGCCATAAGCAAACTGAACTGCAAAGTGTCTCTGGATAGTCGAAGAGATATTTCTACTCTGTTCTACAATTTGTCAGTAACTTTATATTTATAATTGGGCAAACAAATGGCATACGGTGATCAATGTATTTCCCTTCCTCATATAAATGCAATAAGAAAAACAACACACCTGTGTATGGCCTGAACAACTCATGTTCTCATCAAGGACTTCAGTTTCCTCATCTAAAAATGAAGAGTTGGATCAGGTAATCTTCCATATATCTTTCAAGATGTAATATTTTACAATTCTAGGAAAGTCTTTTTCCTGTAGAGACCTTCTTCCTGGGGAAATACTGAACTCATATAATGCCCAGGGAAGAAAGTGATTATTTGGTGGAAAACCGGAACATACCTGATTTCCTTGTGTACTTAAACAAAGCATCTGAAGGTAGATTAGTGATTGTGCAGGAGTAGAGGAATGAGAAGGATGTTTCTAGCACTTTTTCCAGCTCTTCTCTGGATATAGAGAGTTTCAAACAGATTCAGAGTAGGCAGGCAGTGTGGCTGACTCCCAAGGTCATTCCTAGAGGACTGAGATGTTCCTACCCTCTTGGTGCTATTCCTCAGGATACTTTTCTTCCAGACTTGCTTCTTCCCAAATGACAGCTTTATGAGGTTTTTGAAGTTTGTTTCTATTGGGTTGCAATGCTAAGCGAGTCCTCCAATCTTGCCAGTTCCTTTAATTTGAATAATTATTTCCTGAATTTCCATGGCAAGGGTTTCCAGTTGTAGAGCCAGATCAATGTCTCTCCCTCCTGCTCCCCACCATACATTCACAGCCAGGCAGCAGGAACACTACAGTAACTACAGTATCTGAAAATGAGGCCCTCCCAGCTAGAGGAGGTGTAGGGCCCATGGAGACCACTCAATAACAACATGTGACCAAAGGAGATGCATTAACATTTAAGGAACACCACTTGTGATGTATATTGCACATGTTGGGGCAGAAAGGTTCATTTTCACAGTAAAATTGAAAAGAAGGGGTTATCCTAGTGAAAATCCATGAGCCATGGCACCTTCCATCAAGAAGCAAGAGATGACTGAATTAGAAATGATCCGCAGGGATGTGGCATCTAGAAAATAAAAAGTGAACTATTTTCAATGAACCTACAGGCATAGCTGAGTGAATGTTTTAATTAGAACTCTTTGATGACTTGAATTTGAAAATCTCTTAAGTAAACAATGCTGATCTTTCGGCAGTATACACTGACAAAAATGTAAAGTGGCTGAGGAGGATGAAATCTGGGTTTAAATTGCAGCCCTGCTGCTTACTAGCTGTGTGCACTTGGGCAAGTTGTTTAGCATTTCTAAGTTCAAGTTTCCTTTCTAATACATAAAAGTCATTATCATACTTAATTCTAACAATTGTTATGAGAACTTATTATATGAAGTATATTGAGTACTGCAATTATATTCCCAGTTGGGAATATGGGATGAATATTAGAAAGGTCCCATTGCTCTATGTGCCCTATACAACCCTAGCATAAAGATAAATAACAATAATTTGGCTCCTATGAATTTATGGAGCACCAATAGATAACAGTCACTGAGTTGGAGACCATTGATACAGGAATAGGTGCCATGGTTCCTCACTCAATTAAAATGAAAATCTTATTTTATATCAGTTATTAGGAAAGGAAATAAATTAATTTTTTCTGAAGTCAGAATGATACTCTTAAGTATTAACTAATTGCCAATAACTCTTAAAGGACACTTTCCACATTCTGTAGTTATAAAGAGCACTGGCATTGATGGGCAGCCTGAGGATCAGGACTGGCTCTATCATTTATTAGTTGGGTTACTTTGGGCAAGATATTTCACTTTGCTAAATCTCAGTGTTCTTTTTATAATGTATAGGCAATAACAGCATCTATATCATGGGGTTCTTGAGAAAATTAGTTGAATTTTTAAGAAATAAAGAGAAAGGGAGAGAAGAAGAAGGAATGAGGGGGAGGAGGAAGGAGTGGAAAGGAAACAGGAGAGAGAGAACAAACTCTAATGTTGCATCTACTAAGTGTCATTAATTACAACAAACTTTGAAGATGCAAAGAAAAAAGAATATTCTGTATTGCAGTCTAATTGGAAAGGAAAGTATCAATAAACAAATTGATTAGCACATTATACTATTATAAGAGAAGTATGGAAGAGGTCTCAAAAATCAAGAAAATAAACTATAATATTTTTACCGTGAAGCGGTTCCATGTTAGGAATTAGTGATTAAGATGTTCATAGAGTTGTATCTCAGAATCATTAAAGGGAAATCAAGCTGTCCCTTTATTTCTTAGCCTATGGATTACTCCATGAGCAAAAAGGAGGCACTTTCAGGATGTGATCCCCTAACCTATGACATCTGAGATTTTTTCCCTCGGGCTCTATACCTGCAGTTGCGTAGGAGATTACTTTTTCTGAGATGAAACAGGCAACCCTGGAGTTCTTACGTATTAGGAAACATTTTATCTGGAAAATAAAATGTTTTATTATTATTTCTTTTGCTCGTAAAGATTAATCTCTTCACCAGTGCATCTTCTCTTATCTCTTGTGGACCCCACTATGAAAACATTTGCTTTATTTTATTTTTATCAGATTCCTGTCTCTGGGTTCTTTTGTGCCAGTTAAGGAAGAGTCATCTCTGCTCTGGGCTTATGAATCCTTCAATGCATCTTGGGCTTGGTGAGGGGAGCACAATGCATTTTAGTTCCAAAGTGCACTTATTTGACAGAGGGCACAACCTGCATGTTAAGACACTGACCCTGCTTTTACTTCCTCTCCCAGACTTCCTGTTCTTCACAATTCAAAACTGAGTGGGGGACTTGTTAGTGTTGGAATTGTGTCCCATCTTGTGAAAATGTATATAAAAGTGAATGTTAAATAATATATTAGTCAGGTGTTCCCAGAGAAATGGAAAGAATAGATAGATAGATAAATTTATTTTAAGGAATTGGCTGATGGGACCATGACAGATAAGAAGTCCCATGAACTTCTGTCTGTAAGCTGGAGGCCTTTTTTTTGGTAAAGTGCCAATTTTACCCAAAAAGCTTGAAAATGAGAGGAGCTGATGGTATAAGTCCTCATCTGAGTCTGACGGCCTAAAAACCAAAGTGTCAAAATCCAAATGCAGAAGAAGAGAGATTGTCTAACCTCAAGAACACAGAGTGTTATGATTTGGATGTGAGGTGTCCCCCAAAAGCTCACATGTGAGAAAATGCAAGATTGAAGGAGAAATGATTGGGCTATGCCCTTAACATAATCAGTGAATTGATCCCTGATGGGATTAACTGAGTAGTGACTGGAGGCAGGTGGGGTGTGGTTGGAGGAGGTGCGGCATTGGGGGTGTGGCTCTGGAGTATATATTTGTAATATTGCAAGTGAAGCCCCTCTCTCTGTGCTTCATGATAATGTGAGCTGCTTCCCTCTGCCACACTCTTTCGCCATGATGTTCTCCCTCACCTTGAGCCCCAAAGAATGGAGCCAGTCTTCAATGGACAAAGACCTCTGAAACTGTGAGATCTCAAATAAAATTTTCCTCCTCTACAGTTGTTCTTGTTGGGTCTTTTAGTCATAGTGATGAAATAGCTGACTAAATCAGAGAGGAAGCTGGGCGTTGTGGCACATGTCTATAATCACAGCAACTTGGGAGGCTAAGGCAGTAGGACTGCAAGTTTGAGGCCAGCCTCAGCAGTTAAGGAGGGCTTAAGCAACCTACTGAGACCTTGTATCAAAAGAAAAAATAAAAAGGGCTGAGGATGTGTCCCAGTGGTTAAGTGCTCCTGGGTTCAGATCCCATTAACAAATAAAATAAACAAAACAGAACAGAGAGAAAATTCACCATTTCCCTACCCTTTTCTTATATATGGTCCCTCAATGGATGATATCTACTTACATTGGGGATGGTGAATCTTCTTTATTCAGCTTACTGTTGCCTAAATATCCTAGTGAATATGTTAGAAATAATGTTTTACCAGTTATCTGGATATCCTTTAGCCTAGTTAACTCATAAAATTAACTATCACAAATTTCTAATTGCTGGTCCCTCAGAATGTGACCTTATTTGGAAATAGGGTCATAGCAGATGTAATTATGTTAAAGTTATA